ACTCTTCTACTCTACTATGTTTTCTATAGAGCCAGAACAGTCAGCTTGCTCAGAACCAACGAACTGTGCTTCCTACACACACGGGCCATATGTAGTTCAACTCTGCTTAGGAAACTGACAGGAACAGTAGCTTCCCTTGCGTCCAATACACTGCACTTGCTGGGAACAGTTGCGAGTTCTATCTGTACTGTGTATGGCCTTTTGAGCACAATAGTGACTCTCCTTACCAAAAAACAACTCTTGCTGCTAGGACCAGAAACTGCATGAGATTCAACACCCTTTATGAAAGGGAATTCAACTCTAGATCGCCTTACAGGAAACACACTCTGCTTTTGAGAAAGCAGCACTCTTCTACTCTACTGTGTTTCCTATAGAGCCTGAACAGTCAGCTTGCTCAGAACCAAAGAACTGTGCTTCCTACACACACGGGCCATATCTAGTTCAAATGTGCTTAGGAAACTGAAAAGAACAGTAGCTTCTCTTGTGTCCAATACACTGCACTTGCTGGGAAAAGACGCGAGGGCTATTTGCAATGTGTATGGCCAATTGAGCACAATAGTGTCTCTCCTTACCAAAAAACAACTCTTGCTGCTAGGAACAGAATCTGCATGTGATTCAACTTCGTTTATGAAACAGAATTCAACTCTAGCTTGCCTGACAGGAAACACACTCTGCTTTTGAGAAAGCAGAATTCTTCTACTCTACAGTGTTTCCTATAGATCCAGAACAGTCAGCTTCCTCAGAACTAAAGAACTGTGCTTCCTACACACAAGGGCCATATCTAGTTCAACTCTGATTAGGAAACTGATAAGAACAGTCGCTTCTTAGGGTCCAATACACTGCACTTGCTGGGAACAGACACGAGTGCTATTTGCACTGTGTATGGCCAACTGAGCACAATAGTGACTCCCCTTACCAGAAAAAAACTCTTGCTGCTAGGACCAGAAACTGCATGTGATTCAACTCCGTTTATGAAAGGGAATTCAACTCTAGCTCTATTTGCACTGGATAAGCACAATAGTGACTCTCCTTACCAGAAAACAACTCTTGCTGCTAGGACCAGAAACTGCATGTGATTCAACTCCGTTTATGAAAGGGAATTAAACTCTAGTTCGCATTACAAGAAACACACTCTGCTTTTGAGAAAACAGCACTCTTCTACTCTACTGTGTTTCCTATAGAGCCAGAGCAGTCAGCTTGCTCAGAACAAAAGAACTGTGCTTCCTACACAAAAGAGACATATCTAGTTCAACTCTGATTCGGAAACTGACAAGAACAGTAGCTTCTCTTGCGTCCAATACACTGCACTTGCTGGGAATAGACGCGAGTGCTATCTGCACTGTGTATGGCCAATTGCGCACAATTGTGACTCTCCTTACCTGAAAACAACTCTTGCTGCTAGGACCAGAAAATTCATGTGATTCAACTCCGTTTATGAAACAGAATTCAACTCTAGCTCGCCTTACAAGAAACACACTCTGCTTTTGAGAAAGCAGCACTCTTCTTCTCTAATGTGTTTCCTATAGAGCCAGATGAGTCAGCTGGCTCAGAAAAAAAGACTGTACTTCCTACACACGGGCCATATCTACTTCAACTCTGCATAGGAAACTGACATGAAAAGTAGCTTCTCTTCCCTCCAATACACTGTCCTTGCTGGGAACAGACGTGAGTGCTATTTGCACTGTGTATGGCAAAGGAAGCGCAATAGTGACTCTCCTTACCAGAAAACAACTCTTGCTGCTAGGACCAGAATCTGCATGCGATTCAATATGTTTATGAAAGGGAATTCAACTCTAGCTCGCCTTACAAGAAACACACTCTGCTTTTGAGAAAGCAGCACACAACTACTCTACTCTGTTTCCTATAGAGCCAGAACAGTCAGCTTGCTCAGAACAAAAGAACTGTGCTTCCTACACACACGGGCCATTATCTATTTCAACTATGATTAGGAAACTGACAAGAACAGTAGCTTCTTATGGGTCCCATACACTGCACTTGCTGGGAACAGACGCGAGTCCTTTTTGCACTGTGTATGGCCAATTGAGCACAATAGTGAGTCCTCTTACCAGAAAACAACACTTGCTGCTAGGACCAGAAACTGCATATGATTCAACTCCGTTTATGAAAGGGAATTCAACTCTAACTCGCCTTACAAGAAACACACTCTGCTTTTGAGAAAGCAGCACTCTTCTACTCTACTGTGTTTTCTATAGAGCCAGAACAGTCAGCTTGCTCAGAACCAAAGAACTGTGCTTCCTACACACACGGGCCATATCTAGTTCAACTGTGCTTAGGAAACTGAAAAGAACAGTAGCTTCTCTTGCGTGCAATACACTGCACTTGCTGGGAAAAGACGCGAGGGCTATTTGCAATGTGTATGGCCAATTGAGCACAATAGTGTCTCTCCTTACCAAAAAACAACTCTTGCTGCTAGGAACAGAATCTGCATGTGATTCAACTTCGTTTATGAAACAGAATTCAACTCTAGCTCGCCTTACAAGAAACACACTCTGCTTTTGAGAAAGCAGCAGTCTTCTACTCTAATATATTTCCAATAGAGCCAGAACAGTCAGCTGGCTCAGAACAAAAGACTGTACTTCCTACACACAAGGGCCATATCTAGTTCAACTCTACTTAGGAAACTGACAAGAGCAGTAGCTTCTATTGCGTCCAATACTTGCACTTGCTGGAAACAGACGTGAGTGCTATTTGCACTGTGTATGGCCAATTGAGCACAATAGTGACTCTCCTTACCAGAAAACAACTCTTGCTGGTTAGACGAGAAACTCCATGTGATTCAACTACGTTTATGAAAGGGAATTCAACTCTAGCTCTCCATAAAAGAAACACATTCTTCTTTTGAGAAAGTAGCACTCTTCTACTCTACTGTGTTTCTTATAGAGCCAGAACAGTCAGCTTGCTCAGAACATAAGAACTGTGCTTCCTACACACATGGGCCATATCTCATTCAACTCTGCTTAGAAAACTTACAAGAGCAGTAGCTTCTCTTGCGTCCAATACACTGCACTTGCTGGGAACAGACGCGAGTGCTCTATGCACTGTGTATGGTCAATTGAGCACAATAGTGACTCTCCTACCAGAAAACAACTCTTGCTGCTAGGACCAGAAACTGCATGAGATTCAACACCCTTTATGAAAGGGTATTCAAGTCTAACTCGCCTTACAGGAAACACACTCTGCTTTTGAGAAAGCAGCACTCTTCTACTCTACTGTGTTTCCTATAGAGCCTGAACAGTCAGCTTGCTCAGAACCAAAGAACTGTGCTTCCTACACACACGGGCCATATCGAGTTCAACTGTGCTTAGGAAACTGAAAAGAACAGTAGCTTCTCTTGCGTCCAATACACTGCACTTGCTGGGAAAAGACGCGAGGGCTATTTGCAATGTGTATGGCCAATTGAGCACAATAGTGTCTCTCCTTACCAAAAAACAACTCTTGCTGCTAGGAACAGAATCTGCATGTGATTCAACTTCGTTTATGAAACAGAATTCAACTCTAGCTCACCTGACAGGAAACACACTCTGCTTTTGAGAAAGCAGAAGTCTTCTACTCTACAGTGTTTCCTATAGATCCAGAACAGTCAGCTTGCTCAGAACTAAAGAACTCTGCTTCCTACACACAAGGGCCATATCTAGTTCAACTCTGATTAGGAAACTGAAAAGAACAGTCGCTTCTTAGGGTCCAATACACTGCACTTGCTGGGAACAGACACGAGTGCTATTTGCACTGTGTATGGCCAACTGAGCACAATAGTGACTCCCCTTACCAGAAAAAAACTCTTGATGCTAGGACCAGAAACTGCATGTGATTCAACTCCGTTTATGAAAGGGAATTCAACTCTAGCTCTATTTGCACTGGATAAGCACAATAGTGACTCTCCTTACCAGAAAACAACTCTTGCTGCTAGGACCAGAAACTGCATGTGATTCAACTCCGTTTATGAAAGGGAATTAAACTCTAGTTCGCATTACAAGAAACACACTCTGCTTTTGAGAAAACAGCACTCTTCTACTCTACTGTGTTTCCTATAGAGCCAGAGCAGTCAGCTTGCTCAGAACAAAAGAACTGTGCTTCCTACACAAAAGAGACATATCTAGTTCAACTCTGATTCGGAAACTGACAAGAACAGTAGCTTCTCTTGCGTCCAATACACTGCACTTGCTGGGAATAGACGCGAGTGCTATCTGCACTGTGTATGGCCAATTGCGCACAATTGTGACTCTCCTTACCTGAAAACAACTCTTGCTGCTAGGACCAGAAAATTCATGTGATTCAACTCCGTTTATGAAAGGGAATTCAACTCTAGCTCGCCTTACAAGAAACACACTCTGCTTTTGAGAAAGCAGCACTCTTCTTCTCTAATGTGTTTCCTATAGAGCCAGATGAGTCAGCTGGCTCAGAAAAAGAGACTGTACTTCTTACACACGGGCCATATCTACTTCAACTCTGCATAGGAAACTGACATGAAAAGTAGCTTCTCTTCCCTCCAATACACTGTCCTTCCTGGGAACAGACGTGAGTGCTATTTGCAGTGTGTATGTCAATGCGAGCGCACCAGTGACTCCCCTTACCAGAAAAAAATTCTTGCTTCTAGGTCCGAAAACTGCATGTGATTCAACTCCGTTTATGAATGGGAAAGCAACACTAGCTCACCTTACAGAAACACACTCTGTTTTTGAAAAAGAAGTACTCTTCTACTCTACTGTGTTTCCTAGAGGTACAGAAGAGTGAGCTTGCTCAGAACAAAAGAACTGTGCTTCCTACACACAGGTGTAGCTAGAATTTTTTCCTGTCCCACAGTCAGGACAAATCTCTTTCACCTGCCAGTCCCACAGCCGCTCAAACCCGACCAAGTAAACACAGAGACTTATATTGGTTACAAACTGTATGGCCGTGTCAGGCTTCTTGCTAACTGTTCTTACAGCTTAAATTAATCCATTTCCATTATTCTATACCTTGCCACATGGCTCATGTCTTACCGGCATCGTCACATGCAGTTTGTCATCATGGCGGCGGGCAGTCTCTCTGTGACTCAGGATTACACTTGCCAGCTTTATTCTCCTCCTTTTCCCGCATACACTTCCTGCCTAGCCAATGGCCAAAGAGAGATTTATTTATTGACTAATTACCAACACATTTGCCATACAGAACATCCCACAGCACATGGGCATATATATTTCAACTCTGCTTAGGAAACTGACAAGAACAGTAGATTTTCTTCTGTCCAATACAGTGAACTTGCTGTGAACAGACACGAGTGCTATTTGCACTGTGTATGGCAATGGGAGCTCACTAGTTAATCTCCTTAAAAGAAAACATCTCTTGCTGCTAGGACCAGAAACTGCATGTGATTCAACTGCTTTTATGAAGGGGAAAGCAACACTAGCTCACCTTACAAGAAACACACTCTGCTTTTGAGAAAGGAGCACTCTAATACTCTACTGGGTTTCCTATATGGCCAGAACAGTGAGCTTGCTCAGAACAAAAAAACTGTGCTTCCTACACACATGGGACATTTGTAGTTCAACTCTGCTTGGAAACTGACAAGAACAGTAGCTACTCTTCTCTCCAAAACACTGTCCTTGCTGGGTACAGATGCAAGTGCTATTTTCACTGTGTATGGCAATGGGAGCACAGTAGGGACTCTCCTTAACAGAAAACAACTCTTGCTACTAGGACCAGAAACTGCATGTGAATCAACTACGCTTATGAAGGGGAATGTAACACTAGCTTGCCTTACAAGAAACACACTCTGCTTTAGAGAAAGGAGCACTCTTCTACTCTACTGGGTTTCCTAAAGGGCCAGAGCAGTGAGCTTGCTCAGAACAAAAGAACTGTGCTTCCTACACCCGGGCAACATCTAGTTCAACTCTGCTTAGGAAACTGACAAGAATAGTAGCTTCTCTTCCCTCCAATACACTGTCCTTGCTGGGAACAGACGTGAGTGCTATTTGCACTGTGTATGGCAAAGGAAGCGCAATAGTGACTCTCCTTACCAGAAACCAATTCTTGCTGCTAGGACAAGAATCTGCATGTGATTCAACTCCGTGTATGAAACAGAATTCAACTTTAGCTCGCCTTACAAGAAACACACTCTGCTTTTGAGAAAGCAGCACTCTTCTACTCTAATGTGTTTCCTATAGAGCCAGAACAGTCAGCTTGCACAGAAAAAAAGACCTGTGATCGTACACACACGGGCCATATCTAGTTCAACAATGCTTAGGAAAATGACAAGAACAGTAGCTTCTCTTGCGTCCAATACACTGCACTTGCTAGGAACAGACGCGAGTCCTATTTGCACTGTGTATGGGCAATTGAGCATAAGAGTGACTCTCCTTACCAGAAAACAACTCTTTCTGCTAGGACCAGAAACTGCATATGATTCAACTCCGTTTATGAAAGGGAATTCAACTCTAACTCGCCTTACAGGAAACACACTCTGCTTTTGAGAAAGCAGCACCCTTCTACTCTACTGTGTTTCCTATAGAGCCTGAACAGTCAGCTTGCTCAGAAATAAAGAACTGTGCTTCCTACACACACGGGCCATATCTAGTTCAACTGTGCTTAGGAAACTGAAAAGAACAGTAGCTTCTTATGGGTCCAATACACTGCACTTGCTGGGAACAGACGCGAGTCCTTTTTGCACTGTGTATGGCCAATTGAGCACAATAGTGACTTTCCCTACCAGAAAACAACTCTTGCTGCTAGGACCAGAATCTGCATGCGATTCAACTATGTTTATGAAAGGGAATTCAACTCTAGCTCGCCTTACAAGAAACACACTCTGCTTTTGAGAAAGCAGCAGTCTTCTACTCTAATATATTTCCTATAGAGCCAGAACAGTCAGCTGGCTCAGAACAAAAGACTGTACTTCCTACACACAAGGGCCATATCTAGTTCAACTCTGCTTAGGAAACTGACAAGAGCAGTAGCTTCTATTGCGTCCAATACTTGCACTTGCTGGAAACAGACGTGAGTGCTATTTGCACTGTGTATGGCCAATTGAGCACAATAGTGACTCTCCTTACCAGAAAACAACTCTTGCTGGTTAGACGAGAAACTCCATGTGATTCAACTACGTTTATGAAAGGGAATTCAACTCTAGCTCTCCATAAAAGAAACACACTCTTCTTTTGAGAAAGTAGCACTCTTCTACTCTACTGTGTTTCTTATAGAGCCAGAACAGTCAGCTTGCTCAGAACATAAGAACTGTGCTTCCTACACACATGGGCCATATCTCATTCAACTCTGCTTAGAAAACTTACAAGAGCAGTAGCTTCTCTTGCGTCCAATACACTGCACTTGCTGGGAACAGACGCGAGTGCTCTATGCACTGTGTATGGTCAATTGAGCACAATAGTGACTCTCCCTACCAGAAAACAACACTTGCTGCTAGGACCAGAAACTGCATATGATTCAACTCCGTTTATGAAAGGAAATTCAACTCTAACTCGCCTTACAAGAAACACATTCTCCTTTTGAATAAGCAGCACTCTTCTACTCTACTATGTTTTCTATAGAGCCAGAACAGTCAGCTTGCTCAGAACCAACGAACTGTGCTTCCTACACACACGGGCCATATGTAGTTCAACTCTGCTTAGGAAACTGACAGGAACAGTAGCTTCCCTTGCGTCCAATACACTGCACTTGCTGGGAACAGTTGCGAGTTCTATCTGTACTGTGTATGGCCTTTTGAGCCCAATAGTGACTCTCCTTACCAAAAAACAACTCTTGCTGCTAGGACCAGAAACTGCATGAGATTCAACACCCTTTATGAAAGGGAATTCAACTCTAACTCGCCTTACAGGAAACACACTCTGCTTTTGAGAAAGCAGCACTCTTCTACTCTACTGTGTTTCCTATAGAGCCTGAACAGTCAGCTTGCTCAGAACCAAAGAACTGTGCTTCCTACACACACGGGCCATATCGAGTTCAACTGTGCTTAGGAAACTGAAAAGAACAGTAGCTTCTCTTGCGTCCAATACACTGCACTTGCTGGGCAAAGACGCGAGGGCTATTTGCAATGTGTATGGCCAACTGAGCACAATAGTGTCTCTCCTTACCAAAAAACAACTCTTGCTGCTAGGAACAGAATCTGCATGTGATTCAACTTCGTTTATGAAACAGAATTCAACTCTAGCTCGCCTGACAGGAAACACACTCTGCTTTTGAGAAAGCAGAAGTCTTCTACACTACAGTGTTTCCTATAGATCCAGAACAGTCAGCTTGCTCAGAAATAAAGAACTGTGCTTCCTACACACACAGGCCATATCTAGTTCAACTCTGATTAGGATAACTGAAAAGAACAGTAGCTTCTTATGGGTCCAATACACTGCACTTGCTGGGAACAGACGCGAGTCCTTTTTGCACTGTGTATGGCCAATTGAGCACAATAGTGACTTTCCCTACCAGAAAACAACTCTTGCTGCTAGGACCAGAATCTGCATGCGATTCAACTATGTTTATGAAAGGGAATTCAACTCTAGCTCGCCTTACAAGAAACACACTCTGCTTTTGAGAAAGCAGCACACAACTACTCTACTCTGTTTCCTATAGAGCCAGAACAGTCAGCTTGCTCAGAACAAAAGAACTGTGCTTCCTACACACACTGGCCATTATCTATTTCAACTATGATTAGGAAACTGACAAGAACAGTAGCTTCTTATGGGTCCCATACACTGCACTTGCTGGGAACAGACGCGAGTCCTTTTTGCACTGGGTATGGCCAATTGAGCACAATAGTGAGTCCTCTTACCAGAAAACAACACTTGCTGCTAGGACCAGAAACTGCATATGATTCAACTCCGTTTATGAAAGGGAATTCAACTCTAACTCGCCTTACAGGAAACACACTCTGCTTTTGAGAAAGCAGCACCCTTCTACTCTACTGTGTTTCCTATAGAGCCTGAACAGTCAGCTTGCTCAGAAATAAAGAACTGTGCTTCCTACACACACGGGCCATATCTAGTTCAACTGTGCTTAGGAAACTGAAAAGAACAGTAGCTTCTTATGGGTCCAATACACTGCACTTGCTGGGAACAGACGCGAGTCCTTTTTGCACTGTGTATGGCCAATTGAGCACAATAGTGACTTTCCCTACCAGAAAACAACTCTTGCTGCTAGGACCAGAATCTGCATGCGATTCAACTATGTTTATGAAAGGGAATTCAACTCTAGCTCGCCTTACAAGAAACACACTCTGCTTTTGAGAAAGCAGCACACAACTACTCTACTGTGTTTCCTATAGAGCCAGAACAGTCAGCTTGCTCAGAACAAAAGAACTGTGCTTTCTACACACACGGGCCATTATCTATTTCAACTATGATTAGGAAACTGACAAGAACAGTAGCTTCTTATGGGTCCCATACACTGCACTTGCTGGGAACAGACGCGAGTCCTTTTTGCACTGTGTATGGCCAATTGAGCACAATAGTGAGTCCTCTTACCAGAAAACAACACTTGCTGCTAGGACCAGAAACTGCATATGATTCAACTCCGTTTATGAAAGGGAATTCAACTCTAACTCGCCTTACAAGAAACACATTCTGCTTTTGAGAAAGCAGCACTCTTCTACTCTACTGTGTTTTCTATAGAGCCAGAACAGTCAGCTTGCTCAGAACCAAAGAACTGTGCCTCCTACACACACGGGCCATATCTAGTTCAACTGTGCTTAGGAAACTGAAAAGAACAGTAGCTTCTCTTGCGTCCAATACACTGCACTTGCTGGGAAAAGACGCGAGGGCTATTTGCAATGTGTATGGCCAATTGAGCACAATAGTGTCTCTCCTTACCAAAAAACAACTCTTGCTGCTAGGAACAGAATCTGCATGTGATTCAACTTCGTTTATGAAACAGAATTCACCTCTAGCTCGCCTTACAAGAAACACACTCTGCTTTTGAGAAAGCAGCAGTCTTCTACTCTAATATATTTCCTATAGAGCCAGAACAGTCAGCTGGCTCAGAACAAAAGACTGTACTTCCTACACACAAGGGCCATATCTAGTTCAACTCTGCTTAGGAAACTGACAAGAGCAGTAGCTTCTATTGCGTCCAATACTTGCACTTGCTGGAAACAGACGTGAGTGCTATTTGCACTGTGTATGGCCAATGAGCACAATAGTGACTCTCCTTACCAGAAAACAACTCTTGCTGTTTAGACCAGAAACTCCATGTGATTCAACTACGTTTATGAAAGGGAATTCAACTCTAGCTCTCCATAAAAGAAACACACTCTTCTTTTGAGAAAGTAGCACTCTTCTACTCTACTGTGTTTCTTATAGAGCCAGAACAGTCAGCTTGCTCAGAACAAAAGAACTGTGCTTCCTACACACATGGGCCATATCTCTTTCAACTCTGCTTAGAAAACTTACAAGAGCAGTAGCTTCTCTTGCGTCCAATACACTGCACTTGCTGGGAACAGACGCGAGTGCTCTATGCACTGTGTATGGTCAATTGAGCACAATAGTGACTCTCCCTACCAGAAAACAACACTTGCTGCTAGGACCAGAAACTGCATATGATTCAACTCCGTTTATGAAAGGGAATTTAACTCTAACTCGCCTTACAAGAAACACATTCTGCTTTTGAATAAGCAGCACTCTTCTACTCTACTATGTTTTCTATAGAGCCAGAACAGTCAGCTTGCTCAGAACCAAAGAACTGTGCTTCCTACACACACGGGCCATATGTAGTTCAACTCTGCTTAGGAAACTGACAGGAACAGTAGCTTCCCTTGCGTCCAATACACTGCACTTGCTGGGAACAGTTGCGAGTTCTATCTGTACTGTGTATGGCCTTTTGAGCCCAATAGTGACTCTCCTTACCAAAAAACAACTCTTGCTGCTAGGACCAGAAACTGCATGAGATTCAACACCCTTTATGAAAGGGAATTCAACTCTAGCTCTCCATAAAAGAAACACACTCTGCTTTTGAGAAAGCAGCACTCTTCTACTCTACTGTGTTTCCTATAGAGCCTGAACAGTCAGCTTGCTCAGAACAAAAGAACTGTGCTTCCTACACACACGGGCCATTATCTATTTCAACTATGATTAGGAAACTGACAAGAACAGTAGCTTCTTATGGGTCCCATACACTGCACTTGCTGGGAACAGACGCGAGTCCTTTTTGCACTGTGTATGGCCAATTGAGCACAATAGTGAGTCCTCTTACCAGAAAACAACACTTGCTGCTAGGACCAGAAACTGCATATGATTCAACTCCGTTTATGAAAGGGAATTCAACTCTAACTCGCCTTACAAGAAACACATTCTGCTTTTGAGAAAGCAGCACTCTTCTACTCTACTGTGTTTTCTATAGAGCCAGAACAGTCAGCTTGCTCAGAACCAAAAACTGTGCTTCCTACACACACGGGCCATATCTAGTTCAACTGTGCTTAGGAAACTGAAAAGAACAGTAGCTTCTCTTGCGTCCAATACACTGCACTTGCTGGGAAAAGACGCGAGGGCTATTTGCAATGTGTATGGCCAATTGAGCACAATAGTGTCTCTCCTTACCAAAAAACAACTCTTGCTGCTAGGAACAGAATCTGCATGTGATTCAACTTCGTTTATGAAACAGAATTCAACTCTAGCTCGCCTTACAAGAAACACACTCTGCTTTTGAGAAAGCAGCAGTCTTCTACTCTAATATATTTCCAATAGAGCCAGAACAGTCAGCTGGCTCAGAACAAAAGACTGTACTTCCTACACACAAGGGCCATATCTAGTTCAACTCTACTTAGGAAACTGACAAGAGCAGTAGCTTCTATTGCGTCCAATACTTGCACTTGCTGGAAACAGACGTGAGTGCTATTTGCACTGTGTATGGCCAATTGAGCACAATAGTGACTCTCCTTACCAGAAAACAACTCTTGCTGGTTAGACGAGAAACTCCATGTGATTCAACTACGTTTATGAAAGGGAATTCAACTCTAGCTCTCCATAAAAGAAACACATTCTTCTTTTGAGAAAGTAGCACTCTTCTACTCTACTGTGTTTCTTATAGAGCCAGAACAGTCAGCTTGCTCAGAACATAAGAACTGTGCTTCCTACACACATGGGCCATATCTCATTCAACTCTGCTTAGAAAACTTACAAGAGCAGTAGCTTCTCTTGCGTCCAATACACTGCACTTGCTGGGAACAGACGCGAGTGCTCTATGCACTGTGTATGGTCAATTGAGCACAATAGTGACTCTCCTACCAGAAAACAACTCTTGCTGCTAGGACCAGAAACTGCATGAGATTCAACACCCTTTATGAAAGGGTATTCAAGTCTAACTCGCCTTACAGGAAACACACTCTGCTTTTGAGAAAGCAGCACTCTTCTACTCTACTGTGTTTCCTATAGAGCCTGAACAGTCAGCTTGCTCAGAACCAAAGAACTGTGCTTCCTACACACACGGGCCATATCGAGTTCAACTGTGCTTAGGAAACTGAAAAGAACAGTAGCTTCTCTTGCGTCCAATACACTGCACTTGCTGGGAAAAGACGCGAGGGCTATTTGCAATGTGTATGGCCAATTGAGCACAATAGTGTCTCTCCTTACCAAAAAACAACTCTTGCTGCTAGGAACAGAATCTGCATGTGATTCAACTTCGTTTATGAAACAGAATTCAACTCTAGCTCACCTGACAGGAAACACACTCTGCTTTTGAGAAAGCAGAAGTCTTCTACTCTACAGTGTTTCCTATAGATCCAGAACAGTCAGCTTGCTCAGAACTAAAGAACTCTGCTTCCTACACACAAGGGCCATATCTAGTTCAACTCTGATTAGGAAACTGAAAAGAACAGTCGCTTCTTAGGGTCCAATACACTGCACTTGCTGGGAACAGACACGAGTGCTATTTGCACTGTGTATGGCCAACTGAGCACAATAGTGACTCCCCTTACCAGAAAAAAACTCTTGATGCTAGGACCAGAAACTGCATGTGATTCAACTCCGTTTATGAAAGGGAATTCAACTCTAGCTCTATTTGCACTGGATAAGCACAATAGTGACTCTCCTTACCAGAAAACAACTCTTGCTGCTAGGACCAGAAACTGCATGTGATTCAACTCCGTTTATGAAAGGGAATTAAACTCTAGTTCGCATTACAAGAAACACACTCTGCTTTTGAGAAAACAGCACTCTTCTACTCTACTGTGTTTCCTATAGAGCCAGAGCAGTCAGCTTGCTCAGAACAAAAGAACTGTGCTTCCTACACAAAAGAGACATATCTAGTTCAACTCTGATTCGGAAACTGACAAGAACAGTAGCTTCTCTTGCGTCCAATACACTGCACTTGCTGGGAATAGACGCGAGTGCTATCTGCACTGTGTATGGCCAATTGCGCACAATTGTGACTCTCCTTACCTGAAAACAACTCTTGCTGCTAGGACCAGAAAATTCATGTGATTCAACTCCGTTTATGAAAGGGAATTCAACTCTAGCTCGCCTTACAAGAAACACACTCTGCTTTTGAGAAAGCAGCACTCTTCTTCTCTAATGTGTTTCCTATAGAGCCAGATGAGTCAGCTGGCTCAGAAAAAGAGACTGTACTTCTTACACACGGGCCATATCTACTTCAACTCTGCATAGGAAACTGACATGAAAAGTAGCTTCTCTTCCCTCCAATACACTGTCCTTCCTGGGAACAGACGTGAGTGCTATTTGCAGTGTGTATGTCAATGCGAGCGCACCAGTGACTCCCCTTACCAGAAAAAAATTCTTGCTTCTAGGTCCGAAAACTGCATGTGATTCAACTCCGTTTATGAATGGGAAAGCAACACTAGCTCACCTTACAGAAACACACTCTGTTTTTGAAAAAGAAGTACTCTTCTACTCTACTGTGTTTCCTAGAGGTACAGAAGAGTGAGCTTGCTCAGAACAAAAGAACTGTGCTTCCTACACACAGGTGTAGCTAGAATTTTTTCCTGTCCCACAGTCAGGACAAATCTCTTTCACCTGCCAGTCCCACAGCCGCTCAAACCCGACCAAGTAAACACAGAGACTTATATTGGTTACAAACTGTATGGCCGTGTCAGGCTTCTTGCTAACTGTTCTTACAGCTTAAATTAATCCATTTCCATTATTCTATACCTTGCCACATGGCTCATGTCTTACCGGCATCGTCACATGCAGTTTGTCATCATGGCGGCGGGCAGTCTCTCTGTGACTCAGGATTACACTTGCCAGCTTTATTCTCCTCCTTTTCCCGCATACACTTCCTGCCTAGCCAATGGCCAAAGAGAGATTTATTTATTGACTAATTACCAACACATTTGCCATACAGAACATCCCACAGCACATGGGCATATATATTTCAACTCTGCTTAGGAAACTGACAAGAACAGTAGATTTTCTTCTGTCCAATACAGTGAACTTGCTGTGAACAGACACGAGTGCTATTTGCACTGTGTATGGCAATGGGAGCTCACTAGTTAATCTCCTTAAAAGAAAACATCTCTTGCTGCTAGGACCAGAAACTGCATGTGATTCAACTGCTTTTATGAAGGGGAAAGCAACACTAGCTCACCTTACAAGAAACACACTCTGCTTTTGAGAAAGGAGCACTCTAATACTCTACTGGGTTTCCTATATGGCCAGAACAGTGAGCTTGCTCAGAACAAAAAAACTGTGCTTCCTACACACATGGGACATTTGTAGTTCAACTCTGCTTGGAAACTGACAAGAACAGTAGCTACTCTTCTCTCCAAAACACTGTCCTTGCTGGGTACAGATGCAAGTGCTATTTTCACTGTGTATGGCAATGGGAGCACAGTAGGGACTCTCCTTAACAGAAAACAACTCTTGCTACTAGGACCAGAAACTGCATGTGAATCAACTACGCTTATGAAGGGGAATGTAACACTAGCTTGCCTTACAAGAAACACACTCTGCTTTAGAGAAAGGAGCACTCTTCTACTCTACTGGGTTTCCTAAAGGGCCAGAGCAGTGAGCTTGCTCAGAACAAAAGAACTGTGCTTCCTACACCCGGGCAACATCTAGTTCAACTCTGCTTAGGAAACTGACAAGAATAGTAGCTTCTCTTCCCTCCAATACACTGTCCTTGCTGGGAACAGACGTGAGTGCTATTTGCACTGTGTATGGCAAAGGAAGCGCAATAGTGACTCTCCTTACCAGAAACCAATTCTTGCTGCTAGGACAAGAATCTGCATGTGATTCAACTCCGTGTATGAAACAGAATTCAACTTTAGCTCGCCTTACAAGAAACACACTCTGCTTTTGAGAAAGCAGCACTCTTCTACTCTAATGTGTTTCCTATAGAGCCAGAACAGTCAGCTTGCACAGAAAAAAAGACCTGTGATCGTACACACACGGGCCATATCTAGTTCAACAATGCTTAGGAAAATGACAAGAACAGTAGCTTCTCTTGCGTCCAATACACTGCACTTGCTAGGAACAGACGCGAGTCCTATTTGCACTGTGTATGGGCAATTGAGCATAAGAGTGACTCTCCTTACCAGAAAACAACTCTTTCTGCTAGGACCAGAAACTGCATATGATTCAACTCCGTTTATGAAAGGGAATTCAACTCTAACTCGCCTTACAGGAAACACACTCTGCTTTTGAGAAAGCAGCACCCTTCTACTCTACTGTGTTTCCTATAGAGCCTGAACAGTCAGCTTGCTCAGAAATAAAGAACTGTGCTTCCTACACACACGGGCCATATCTAGTTCAACTGTGCTTAGGAAACTGAAAAGAACAGTAGCTTCTTATGGGTCCAATACACTGCACTTGCTGGGAACAGACGCGAGTCCTTTTTGCACTGTGTATGGCCAATTGAGCACAATAGTGACTTTCCCTACCAGAAAACAACTCTTGCTGCTAGGACCAGAATCTGCATGCGATTCAACTATGTTTATGAAAGGGAATTCAACTCTAGCTCGCCTTACAAGAAACACACTCTGCTTTTGAGAAAGCAGCAGTCTTCTACTCTAATATATTTCCTATAGAGCCAGAACAGTCAGCTGGCTCAGAACAAAAGACTGTACTTCCTACACACAAGGGCCATATCTAGTTCAACTCTGCTTAGGAAACTGACAAGAGCAGTAGCTTCTATTGCGTCCAATACTTGCACTTGCTGGAAACAGACGTGAGTGCTATTTGCACTGTGTATGGCCAATTGAGCACAATAGTGACTCTCCTTACCAGAAAACAACTCTTGCTGGTTAGACGAGAAACTCCATGTGATTCAACTACGTTTATGAAAGGGAATTCAACTCTAGCTCTCCATAAAAGAAACACACTCTTCTTTTGAGAAAGTAGCACTCTTCTACTCTACTGTGTTTCTTATAGAGCCAGAACAGTCAGCTTGCTCAGAACATAAGAACTGTGCTTCCTACACACATGGGCCATATCTCATTCAACTCTGCTTAGAAAACTTACAAGAGCAGTAGCTTCTCTTGCGTCCAATACACTGCACTTGCTGGGAACAGACGCGAGTGCTCTATGCACTGTGTATGGTCAATTGAGCACAATAGTGACTCTCCCTACCAGAAAACAACACTTGCTGCTAGGACCAGAAACTGCATATGATTCAACTCCGTTTATGAAAGGAAATTCAACTCTAACTCGCCTTACAAGAAACACATTCTCCTTTTGAATAAGCAGCACTCTTCTACTCTACTATGTTTTCTATAGAGCCAGAACAGTCAGCTTGCTCAGAACCAACGAACTGTGCTTCCTACACACACGGGCCATATGTAGTTCAACTCTGCTTAGGAAACTGACAGGAACAGTAGCTTCCCTTGCGTCCAATACACTGCACTTGCTGGGAACAGTTGCGAGTTCTATCTGTACTGTGTATGGCCTTTTGAGCCCAATAGTGACTCTCCTTACCAAAAAACAACTCTTGCTGCTAGGACCAGAAACTGCATGAGATTCAACACCCTTTATGAAAGGGAATTCAACTCTAACTCGCCTTACAGGAAACACACTCTGCTTTTGAGAAAGCAGCACTCTTCTACTCTACTGTGTTTCCTATAGAGCCTGAACAGTCAGCTTGCTCAGAACCAAAGAACTGTGCTTCCTACACACACGGGCCATATCGAGTTCAACTGTGCTTAGGAAACTGAAAAGAACAGTAGCTTCTCTTGCGTCCAATACACTGCACTTGCTGGGCAAAGACGCGAGGGCTATTTGCAATGTGTATGGCCAACTGAGCACAATAGTGTCTCTCCTTACCAAAAAACAACTCTTGCTGCTAGGAACAGAATCTGCATGTGATTCAACTTCGTTTATGAAACAGAATTCAACTCTAGCTCGCCTGACAGGAAACACACTCTGCTTTTGAGAAAGCAGAAGTCTTCTACACTACAGTGTTTCCTATAGATCCAGAACAGTCAGCTTGCTCAGAAATAAAGAACTGTGCTTCCTACACACACAGGCCATATCTAGTTCAACTCTGATTAGGATAACTGAAAAGAACAGTAGCTTCTTATGGGTCCAATACACTGCACTTGCTGGGAACAGACGCGAGTCCTTTTTGCACTGTGTATGGCCAATTGAGCACAATAGTGACTTTCCCTACCAGAAAACAACTCTTGCTGCTAGGACCAGAATCTGCATGCGATTCAACTATGTTTATGAAAGGGAATTCAACTCTAGCTCGCCTTACAAGAAACACACTCTGCTTTTGAGAAAGCAGCACACAACTACTCTACTCTGTTTCCTATAGAGCCAGAACAGTCAGCTTGCTCAGAACAAAAGAACTGTGCTTCCTACACACACTGGCCATTATCTATTTCAACTATGATTAGGAAACTGACAAGAACAGTAGCTTCTTATGGGTCCCATACACTGCACTTGCTGGGAACAGACGCGAGTCCTTTTTGCACTGGGTATGGCCAATTGAGCACAATAGTGAGTCCTCTTACCAGAAAACAACACTTGCTGCTAGGACCAGAAACTGCATATGATTCAACTCCGTTTATGAAAGGGAATTCAACTCTAACTCGCCTTACAGGAAACACACTCTGCTTTTGAGAAAGCAGCACCCTTCTACTCTACTGTGTTTCCTATAGAGCCTGAACAGTCAGCTTGCTCAGAAATAAAGAACTGTGCTTCCTACACACACGGGCCATATCTAGTTCAACTGTGCTTAGGAAACTGAAAAGAACAGTAGCTTCTTATGGGTCCAATACACTGCACTTGCTGGGAACAGACGCGAGTCCTTTTTGCACTGTGTATGGCCAATTGAGCACAATAGTGACTTTCCCTACCAGAAAACAACTCTTGCTGCTAGGACCAGAATCTGCATGCGATTCAACTATGTTTATGAAAGGGAATTCAACTCTAGCTCGCCTTACAAGAAACACACTCTGCTTTTGAGAAAGCAGCACACAACTACTCTACTGTGTTTCCTATAGAGCCAGAACAGTCAGCTTGCTCAGAACAAAAGAACTGTGCTTTCTACACACACGGGCCATTATCTATTTCAACTATGATTAGGAAACTGACAAGAACAGTAGCTTCTTATGGGTCCCATACACTGCACTTGCTGGGAACAGACGCGAGTCCTTTTTGCACTGTGTATAGCCAATTGAGCACAATAGTGAGTCCTCTTACCAGAAAACAACACTTGCTGCTAGGACCAGAAACTGCATATGATTCAACTCCGTTTATGAAAGGGAATTCAACTCTAACTCGCCTTACAAGAAACACATTCTGCTTTTGAGAAAGCAGCACTCTTCTACTCTACTGTGTTTTCTATAGAGCCAGAACAGTCAGCTTGCTCAGAACCAAAGAACTGTGCCTCCTACACACACGGGCCATATCTAGTTCAACTGTGCTTAGGAAACTGAAAAGAACAGTAGCTTCTCTTGCGTCCAATACACTGCACTTGCTGGGAAAAGACGCGAGGGCTATTTGCAATGTGTATGGCCAATTGAGCACAATAGTGTCTCTCCTTACCAAAAAACAACTCTTGCTGCTAGGAACAGAATCTGCATGTGATTCAACTTCGTTTATGAAACAGAATTCACCTCTAGCTCGCCTTACAAGAAACACACTCTGCTTTTGAGAAAGCAGCAGTCTTCTACTCTAATATATTTCCTATAGAGCCAGAACAGTCAGCTGGCTCAGAACAAAAGACTGTACTTCCTACACACAAGGGCCATATCTAGTTCAACTCTGCTTAGGAAACTGACAAGAGCAGTAGCTTCTATTGCGTCCAATACTTGCACTTGCTGGAAACAGACGTGA